CGGTATTGGCTTTCAGCCACCGGTGCCTACACGTATTTCAATTAAACTTTAATTGAAATTTACAAAGACGCTTAAGTCGAGGGCCTCGGTTGGTCGCGTCCAGATACCCTTGAGATTAGTCGAAATTTATTCGACGTTTCTACGACGTTCCTAATTGAAAATGTTCAGTGACATTCTCGATTTTTATAGCAATTCCTTGTGTCAAAACAAAAACAAATTTGCACTCGGATGATTTAGTCGATATCTGTATCGTTAGATCCTATCGTCGATTATCCTCTCAATTCTCGCCGTGTCATCGCGTGGCCCGTTTCTAAACGCTAGGATGGGAGCACTTCTGGGCGCTCGTGTAACCCACACCGACCTCTTCGATCGTCCCGTGCGTGCAGCGAGACAAAGAAAATTCTTTCCCACGCGCAGGTGCCGGTTTATGGTGCATTCGGTACGGTCGGGGTGGTTACGAAAACACGCTGTAAATGAAGTTATTCCGCCACGGGTTAATAACGCTGGGAGCCTGAAAAGATTGTAGAATTTCGGTGGAAGCGTGCGGATGCACGAACTTCTTCGACAGACCGAATGGGAGTATCTTCTGGGCGGGGATGGGCAACGTTGATGGAGGATGGGTTTGAATAGCTCGATCAGGACTGTGCAAACGCAATATGCAGTTGCTCGAATAGTTGCATGCTGCTGGCAACCGTTAGGGAATCGTGTCTGTGAATAATTCCAAGTAATTGTTACTTTACACTCTTCTTCACACTCTTCGGAGTATAAAAACGAGGTTGGGAGGTGTCGCTGTTGGATTCTGCAGTGTCGACCGTTATCGATTGGTTATCGATTTTTTTAGTTGATCAACAACTTAGCTGTTGAACAACGTCTAATGTCTGTTTAAAAGCACAAGTTTCTGAACGTACAATAAAAGACAGAAAAGGCATGTAGCAATCATTTTTGCGTTCTACATAATCCCACAATGGCCAATGTCAATTTTACGTTTTATGAAAATTGATTATCTTTGAAGTGAAAATTCACTCGATCTACAATCGTCATATATTATGTGTAGCATTTTTTTTTTTTTTATTAAACCTACTCAAGACTGAAAGAATTACTCAAGGCCAGACGAAATTCAGCCACTATACAACTTCGTTTCGAATCATCCTGTACGTAGATCTTAATTCCCCAGGCCCAGATGTTCGTCTTGTCTCGTCGGTCAGGTGACGCAAGCCGAGAAACATATTAAATAGCCCGTGGTATCTACATCCGCGCCTCCACGAGTCTTGTACGCGTCCGCGCGTGAAACTTGGTAACTTTCCGGCTTTACGTGCTGTTGTTCTTTCATATCTAGTTACATCGTCAAATAAGGCGAACGCAGCTCGACACGCCATAGTCGTATCCGCTGTCATAAGTCGCGAAACGCAGACTAGACGCCGCGCGTCGAGACAAACGTGACAATTTCCAAAACGGTGTAGGTGATAATTATCACTCAAACATAATTATCGTTCAAACATGGTTGAATCTTGACTGAGAGTGATTGCATTGTTTATTGCCTGAAATTTAGGTTGTCCTCACTTTGGGAGTTCTAAATTTCTGTTCGTAAAAAAGGAATATACCGTGTGAAACATCACTGTTCTGGATGTGACTGCCATCTTGAATAAAATTGGATTTTTATGACTAAGTAAAAACGTTTTTGTACTCTACAAATAATTAAAGATTGAAATATTTCACGTTGAATAAATGAAAATATCAGTGGAACGTTACAGATAAATCGCTGTGTGTTGGTTTCATGGCTTATCTATTATTCCAATAAAAATGTCCACATCTGTAGTCCTAAATAATCTGAAATAAAAACATTCAGAATTTTCGAAATCTAACAGAAAATGGATTTTCTTAGAAAATATAGCAGAATGAAAAGGGGATTTTTAGTGAACCTTTACAGAAGCACATTCTTGAATCCCAATTTAGAATGTGTAAAAGTCGATTTTTCGAAAGTGCTGAACTGGAATACTTCCCCTGGAGGGGAATGCGAACTCGCCTCCACAATGGACCACCTACTCCCCCTCCAGCTCCAGGCTGCTCCTCGAATATTCCCGAAATCTCGTTTCAGGCAGCTGCGCTAATGCTATGGAACCGACTGTAACGCGGGATTGTCGTAGCTTCGTGAACTGTGAAGCGTGCGACGCGTTTAGAAACTTGCGAGTGTTGACGTTCCCGACGCGAGTAACATCGTACGAGGCCAACCAAGCGAATCATGTTTCACCAACCGGCGGGTTTCGGTCCCTGGAACTCGAAACTCGCCAATCGCGAGATGTCGACCGGTATGCGTGGTGTTCCTGCGTGCACTGATAACGTTCGCGGCTCGCATAATCGCGATTATGTAACCACTCCACGAATTCGAGGTTGCAGTTCTTCGTTGATCACGTTTGTTGAAATCAAATAGCTAATCCACGGATGGATGCCTTATCAGTCTATCGCAAACAACAGCCTTTATTCTTCTAATGTTTCTGTAAGTTGTTTTGGAGTTCAGAGCTGGTTTGCCTCGAGAAACACGTCCCACAAAGGTAGGTTTGCAATTTAGACTCGAGTCCTTGGGTTCCCAAACAAAATCTTCACGGTTGTCGAGTAGGGAGTGCGGAAAATCGTTGTTGCGCCACAATTCCGCAACTAACGTCGACCTGTCCCCAGATCAACCGTAAAACGTGCCAAGGAGCCGTGCGTTATTGGTATTCTTTGTTGCGCTCCGTAATCATTGGCGTGGATCATGTTTTGCTTACTCTTTACGTAAGTCTGAACATGACGGTATTGGCATTACACAATTGTCTACGAGACGTCTTGGAAACGGTTGGCTTTCTAACGCCCCCGGTTCGCGCCATTCATCGGGAAGATATTTACGGTAGTAAGGTGGGAACAAAAGGTAAACGTACGCAGAAATAGTTACAGGGCCGTATATTTCAATCCTGACTATGACTCCCTTGGGAATACTCTTAAGAATCGAAAAATGGACAAGCAATTGTAATAAAGAATCGATACATCAACTACTAAGTTGCCGCGAGATATTAAATTTCACTTTGTGTAATCAATAAGTGTCGTGAGCCACTCCTGACTCCGCGACACTTATCGACCATTCGCTCCAATCTCTCTCATCTCGTTCCTCGGACGAATGTTCGTCGTTCCATTGCAATCCAGGCTCTGCTAGGATCAGCTTTTAGTGTCGAGCTCGCAGACGCTAACAACACTTTATGAATTCGTTGGACGACATTAATCGAAGCGCTATCAGGCGACCGAAAGGTATCCGCGAACACTGCCGACGTGCCTCGACTCGACACATAACGGGGCTGGATTAAAGCGTCATCACCGGTCCGTGTCAGGGAACAACTGTGATCCTGTAAACGACCCTTTGGAGAATAAACTCCCTTCTAGTATTTATGGACTTTTGGGATTAGCAGGGAGAGAAAGGCGGGGGAAGGGACTGGCAGCCTCCGATGTCGAGAGCGTCTCTTTGTAAATTCGCTCTCTCGAAGCTGTACGAGGCGCGGAGGGAGGTGGCGAGGATCGTACATCCTCAAGGAAGATCGCGATCTACGGTTGTTTATGCGATACCTCGAGATAGGGGTGCTCTTTTGTCCGGGGGCGGTTTTCACCGTTCGCTGGAGATACGAATGAATAAGTTTCGGGGACGCGACGTATTTCACCTACAGGGCGTGTGTACACGCTCCGTTACGTGGCCAGCGTGGTTTCGCGAACGGCTTGCGAGGGCCTGCTTCCTCCTGCCCGGTTTAAGAGACTTAACCCGGATCAGAGGTCGGTGATAAGCGACAAAGAAACCGAAGGGATTCCCAGTAATCGAGGTAGGTTATTGTTTTAACACGTTTCTCGGGGAAATCAAGATGGGGATCGTTATAACGCGTCAGACCATCGTATTTGCAGAGATTTTGGGTAATTCTGGCTGTTTCGAGTAATAAATGCTATTCGTGTAGTTGAAATTACGTAATATTTTTATGAGAAGCATAATTTTCAAACAGGTGTACGCTTCAAATATTTCGTGACAATGGGAAAAAAAGAATAATATTATAACGAAAGAAATCATAATACTATTGATAGTAATAAAAACTTTCAATTACATTATATTCTACTAAATACAATATAAAATATTCATCACATTTTAAAAGTAATTCTTTCACATGTGAATTTTTAATATCAATAGTTGAGGTGAAAATGTAACGAGAAACAGATTCGTTTAACCACGTACTGAGACAAAAATATCATTTCCAGAAATGTATTTTACAAATGTAGATTACAATAGTTGATTTAATTTTTTGTACTCTTAAGGGCACCCAGGGACTTCTATCTGACCCAGACCCATCGTCGACATTTTTTCTAATAGTAATGACATATAATCATATAGATTCTTCGAAACAACTCCAATTCGTTACAAGGTGGATAGTTAAGGGACGCCATTGAAATATTTACCAGTTTCATTGCTAGCTCATCCAACGAATGCTTCGCCGGGGCCAACCGTTTAATTCAATCCCATTTTAATTTACTTACAAGAGATTGCTTCTCCAGATGCAAGCGACAGAGGTAACGGTAAAATAATTCAAGTGTTTACTCCGTTTTCCTCGACGCGGTGTAATTCCGCGGGCTTCGGTCCGCATCGAAAGTTTTCGCCATCGAGACACCGACGAATCGTTTAACGCGAAGATCGGGTTTCCGCCCTCCACAGCTCCGAACAGACCAGATCCATCCATCCACGGTAGCTCTCGCGCACCGTTGCACGAGCGTTCCCCAAATTCGCCGATAAGAAAGCCGGCAAAAGGCGGGAGGCGTCAAACATCGGTCTTCTCGAGTCATTAGAACACCCTCGGATCTTACCACCTAACGGTTCACCTTTCTCGGGGCTCGCGAAGATCTCTCCCTCGCACGCACACGCGGAGAAATGCCATGGCGAGCGAGCACGAGCATCGGAGCAAGAGAGAAACGAAACGAGACAAGATACCGCGAGAGAGCGCATCTCCTCCGGTCGCCGAGTGCCTCCACCTTGAGAGTTCAGGAACGGAGGGCAAGCAACGAGAGCGAGAGAACCTCCCGAACGGAACGCCAGCGGAGAACGCGAACGTTCCTCGTCGGAGGCAGCAATGAGGTGGGGGGGAGGGGGGGGGTACGTTCTGTCGGGTTCGCGAGCGCGAAGGAACCCGCTCGGTGGGGGCGAGCTGTGGCTAGAAGCGAGCTGGTTGCCGTGGATGGCGAGGTGATGGGGTGGATGACTAGGCGCGAGAGGGGAATCACCAGCTGCCAGGATGGTGGGGGATGTACGCTGGGCGTCGTTGGTGGGGGGCGACGCTCTCCTGTCCCCTTGGCTCGGTTAGTTTCTCCGTCGACGCCGCTGGAAGCGGATCGAGCGTGTTTCTCCTCCTCGTGGGCGATCTACGCGCGGCGACCTGGTAACGTTTCTGCTGGCTCCGTTATCTATCTCGGGACCAGGTGACTCTGCACGAGATCTCGGATGATCACCATGGCGACTCGAGACACGCGGCTCCGATAGCACCCCCGCGATCGCGATACGGGATTATAAATCGGAGCGGACCCGTGCCGAGCGGGCGATCGTCGTTTCGGAGTGCAAAGAAAGTTCCTCGTGGAAAAGCTGGTCATCGTGTTTTTTTGCTTGTGTACCAGGGTGGGGATAGTTTCTGGTGACTCGCCTCGTCTCGATTTTCGGAGTGTATCGTGATCCTCGGTCCCCCATCGCGGCAGTGAGACTCGTCGTGGAAGTGAGCAACGTTGATCGGTGAGGAATAATCGTACGCGATCCAAGTACCATCGAGTTTGCCTATCTGTTCGTCACGATTCGGAGCAGGGGAGCTTCAAAGGACCCGCACTCGAGCCGCGAAGGCTAGCCGTCGGACGCCAGGACAGCGACAGGTCCCGATCCCGCGGACCGGGGGATCGATAAGGATCGGTTCGCGCGATCTATCGTCGTCGCGTCTAGCTTGCTCCGATTGGATACCAACGGAACCAGAGTGCTTTTCTCAAGTGTCAGTGACAGTTCTTGTGTGTTTTCCGTTCAAGTTTCGTGCGATGTACCTCGACCACGCCGTCTTCGTCTTCCATCTTGTAAGTAGACCAATGCTATCCGAGGATTTGACCAGCATCGATCCGTCGAGGATTACCACGCGGGTTCCCGCGCTTTCCCGACCGGGAAATCCCTCGAACGGATCGAGAGGGAAAGAGGAGACGCTTGTGGCAGCGTGCTAGGGGTATCCTATCCAGGGAGCAAAGGTCACAAGAAGCGACGGCACACCAGTGACTTTGACACGTCTCCCGCGGGAAGACCTCGCGTTAGGTCTCGTTTCACAAGCCGATGCTCAAAGCCTTCGCACGGAGTGCCCTGAGTTTAAACCCCGCGATTACAAACGATGGTCTGTGTGCACACGTGACCCCGGAGAATCTATGCACGTACAGCGTCTGCCCTCGTGCGAGTAGCTCAGGGCACGGTCGGGCAGAGCTTGACCTCGAAAGGATACTCCGACTGCAACGAACGCCTTCCTAAGCGTATTTAAAGACCCACCAAGAGTGACGCGCCACGCCAAACGCTTTGAAGTACGAATTAAAGGTCTAATCGGTGGGATCGATTTCAATCGAGGAAGTGCTGTTGGCGTCGCCCGTCGGCCAGCGTGGATCGAGCCATTTTTAAAGGGTCTCGTCGAATGTAAGAATTTTGTATAGGTGACGAATCGGAGCAGATTGGAGAGATGGAAATAATAGTCATTTTACTGGTGGCGTGGTAGATTGGAGAACCATGTTCAATTCGTTTGCTTCGTGTGTGTCGTTCTTTTTAGTTTGTTTCCAAAGTGATTAGGCAGAATATGATTCGGAGCAAGTTTACTCCAAGTGTTATAGAGTGATGTTGGCCATGTTCGTGAGAAACAACTGACAAGCGAAACACAGTCATGATTGTTTATAAGTCTCTAATCTTGTCTCTTATCGAATCACGTGAAAACTGATCGATAACGTCCAGAAACTTTAAGCGAGTAAGCAATAGTGTCGTGGGAAACTTGTGATAAATACACTATCTAAATACGGTGCACACTAAATTGGAGTAGCGTAACTGGTAGTCGGTGCGTGTCATCCTCGACTTCTTACTTTCATTCCAAAGTGGTTTGTCAGGAAATTGTTAACAAATTCCGTGAAAGGTCTAATAAAATTGTTGATGCAAGGTAGCGCCGAGTGAAGTTTTCGTGATAGGAAAGCCATTAGGCATTATCTCGCGTGATACGAAATCCTGACCAATTCACGGTTCGCTTGACTCTAGAATCCCATCAAAGCTAAACGATCAAGTCCATCAGATTATAATTCCAACTGCAGCAACGCGTCGGGAAAATGACAATGCTCGAAAGTGGCCATTTTTGACGTTATTATCATCCTACATGTTCAGGAAACAGTAGTTACTCGACAAACGTGTGATTGTGAAAATTGTGATTATCGCACCTAAAGGCTGGAATATCGTAGCGACAACGGCTCGCCTAAGCGATACGTGTCATCCTAGACTTCTCCATTCCGTGGCTTGTTCCCGATGCGATCGATCAGGAAATTGCTCAGGTAGTCCGTGACAGGTCCAGCGAATCTATTGCTATAGAACAACATCATAGATGGATAGTAATAAATATTTGGTTGATGCATAAGTTTTCCGTGCGGTATTTTTCAGTGTTTTGTAGTAACTTTGGCCTGCTCCAGTATTTGTGAGATCTATTGAAAGAAACTTTACGCAAATCGTTCGAAAGAACATGTAGTACTCATCTTCAACCTTCGAACTTTATCCACGAACTCTTCGAGACGGATTATTACTTGGTCAGAATCAATTTCTCCGGTGCATTCGCGAGTATTTGGCTGGTATTTGCTTGAATCGAAGAATTTCAGCGGGTTTATTGAAGTAGCATGGTTGTTCAGAATGTCACTCATATCAGAATTGCTCGCTCGAAGCGTAGAAGCCACTTTTCGGTTGTTTCCTCTACGATAAAGTCTGCTCTTCAGCTTAGAGTGTTCGCTCGATTCGTAAAGGAGAGGATATCCTAAAAGTGTTCCATTTATCGTCTTGACGCCTCATAGTTTTGGTCTCGAAAAGGTTTTGCTATTATTCGGTTAGAAGAATAAAAAGATCAACAGAATGTTGCATTAAATTACACTTTCATTTTCGAGTGGAAATCAAATATAATTTTTGCTTCCGAAAAATAAAAGCTAAAGAATGTTATATAATACACAACCCAATGGCAACGTTCACTCGCTACATTTTTGCACGAAAAATAACCTGTCCGAGTTTATGTATCAACCCTATTCGTACGAAAGTAATTAACCGTGTTATTCATACAGAAACTTGTAGCGTTATACGAGTTCGTTTTGTATACTGGTGTATTCTCTCCTCTATGCACGTTTTTGGCTGTGTTGAATCGACGTACATGTGTTCCATAGCAATATTACTTTTCGGAAGAGCACCTAAAGCAGTTATTTCCCACCATTGCGCGCGGTGAAATTCTCAGCGAACGGAGCAGTTGTTGCTCCGCTATAGCAACAGCTTCACGATTTCTCCGTTTTGCTAGACCCTGCACAGACTTTCTGTACAATTTCCTAAACGAGCACTTCGGAAACAGACCGTCGTGCGAAGATGAGGATGACATACATTGGAGTGACTCGAATAAATGCTTTTAAAAGGCTATTAAACGTATAGTTGCACACTTTTTATCACAAATGAATTGAATAGCTATTGATTTCTGATTCTCGGGATACTCGTTACACGAGAATTTTTTTTCTCCCATAAGTAGCAAGAATCGCCATTTTGGAGCATTGTCCTCGGGGAGGATAAGTTACGAGCAGTAAGAAACTTGGAATGAAAGTTCCTCGGAATTCAGGTGACGCCAATGATCGAAGGCTTCCCGAGAGGAGCGCCGTATGATTCATTTATATCAACATTTGAGCGTTTAACGATTAGGCGACCTCGGTGCTCTCAGTGCTCTTGGCTAATCGCGGATATCGCGGTTTGACGAGCTTGTACGTGCCGTGATGTCCGTGTCAACAGATAACGTAAATCTCAAACGAAGATGAGCCAAACTTTATTCGAGTAATTAACGAATGCAAACATCGTGGAATTAAAGAAATATTGATGGGTGTGCTGCAATAAGGTGGCAGCTTCATTTTTGTATGGTTTTGTGGTTAGAACATAATCACGGATTTAAAACATTCCTTTTTTTTTTGTGGTGCAATAAGGAGGAAAGTTTGAAAAAATGGAGCTGTCTCCTTATTGATGCCCACCAGTCAATTGTGTAAAATAGATATAATCAAGCATACATGTTTAATTACTGTATGTTGTGTAAGCCATGAATACTTCGGAGCACTAAATTACTAGGAAACGACATAGAAAGTGGCAGATGCGTCGTTTGATGATTTTTGTGTCCGTTCCGTCGATTAAGTCGGCTCGTGTTTGTGCTCGTTTACACGTACGCTCGACGTCACCACGAGCTAATTAGACTTCCAAGTGCATGTTTTTGTCGAATGATTCACAACGTCTCGTGCCGTCGTTTTTCTTTCACTCCTTCTCCGGGAGGCTTAGTTCCTTGGATTTTCAATCCGAATTGCGTGTTCCACGCGTGTTTTGTCGGACACTTGTACAACCGCGGACCCCGCAAACGTGACTATGCATCTTAACCGTTCCGCCTTCCAGCATGAAATCCAAAAGACACGGTGAATTATGCAACGATCGAAATTGTTTAAGGCAGATGTTCCAGCTTTCTACATAAAATTTGCGTTCAGGTCGAAGTTTAAAGTAGAATTTCGTTTTTTGATTACGCTATCTAAATGATTCGTATGAATGCTTGCTCCAAATATTTATTACGAGACCTTATGGTGGATGCAATTGAATAAGTTATATCAGGCTTACAAATTATCATAGCTTACTTTAAATTAAAAATAATCTACAGGTTCTCCAAACTTAGACACTCCTTCCAGAAAAGAGATATTAATCATTCATGGGCGTATAAGTAACCGAGTACATAGTTTCTCCTTTAAAGGATAAAATAAATACCTCGCAATAGATGATTAATGAAATATAGACACCTATGTTTTCATACGGAATATGCGTGAGTGATGATACGTGAGTTAGTTTTTGAATTACGTTGACCGTGGAACGTGTCAGCGGCAGTGCCTTACCGCTTAATTTATATCCAATTCATTGTCGATTCGAGTTTTTACACCTCCGCGCAGAATCCTTATGAAACATGCAGAAGACATCCCGATGAAAAAGTTGAGAAACGGGTGCAGGTGGCGAAGATATACGAGGAAACAGGAAATACCTGAACCGTTTCGGGTGATCGTATTTCTCGACGAACGAGTGGCCGCCTTCGCTGCTGCCTCTCGGTTACCACCTCGCTTCGACTTGGCATATTTACTTTGCCGCTCGTAGAGAAACGGGCTCTCGCTTTAATATTGCTCGTCCACCGACTCGTGACATTTCGCAATCTGCGTGTACTGCAATTTCTCCAGTCTGGCGACGAAAAAGTTTACCTCAAAGTTCGTTCCTGAATGTGTCCGACGTAACGACGCATTCAGATCGGTCTAGTAAACGTTACCGTTTCAATTTTCGACCAGTCGAACGATCGACCCTTTAATAACTGCACGCAATCGCTCCCAACAGCAGTGGGATTATATCTGTTACATGAAATAACGTTAGTTTAGTTTGGCATTATTTCAAAAAACAGAGATTGCGAGTCTTGTAATCTTGCGATTGAAGCTGATTATTTTATAATTGGAGGTCACGTAATCCATTTATAATTTAAACAATACGCACTTATCCAAGACAATATTATCGAGATAAGGTACTATAATCGTTGGGTCTATTGAATGATCATAAAACTCTTACTCATCCGATAAAAGGACGTTTCGATCAGGTTTTACAAAGTCAAAGAGGAGAAAAATTATCATGTCCTATTTTTACAAAGACGATAGAAAATATACCTAAGAAAATTGAAATATCAAGCGTTTATTTTACTGCTACTTGAGTATCGAAGTAGTGAATATGTAAACTTCGTTACCCACTATTTGCTTCACTAATTATTTAACGAGTGATA